ATGGGATGAGGTGGGAAGGGTCATGTTTACCAAAAGTCTTATATGGGAATAGCTTTCGTCGTTGAATTCGATGTGAGCACTACAATCCGTTTTTGAGTGTCTTTGCTGTGAGAGCCTGTATGCAGTCAGACCCGTCATGATGTTAGTATTTTGAAAAAAGACTAACACCACATACCACAACGAAAGTCTCTTGCCGTATACATAACAGTAGATGACAACTCACGAGTAGGATACATCTTATGTATCCCTTGAATCGTAGCTTTTACCATGGCTGCTTCGAAGGTGTCTCATGCAACATGAAGAATGTCATTCCCGCCCATCGCTTCTGTGTTGACTCTTTGGAAAACCTTACGAACACCGTACTTACATCGCTTGAATCTTCCATACCAGATTCTTGTGACTATTGAAAATGATTAGAAGAACTGTCGGCAACAGGCATTCTCGCACTCCGTCCAACGTGAAGGCTTCTTATCTGTACCCCACAGATGTGATTCAGAGCCGATATAAACAACGTGTCAGAGCCTATACACAACAGAGAACAATCTCCGCTAAGATAATTACATGGCTTGCATGAACGCGGTGCTGAGATTCAAATGGGATTATGAGTTATGACGTGCGTAAGTGTAACAATGCCGTGGTACCTTTTACGGTTGTGTCGGTTGAGGGGAATGTTTGTGGAGCGGATACAAAGCGATTGCAGACTCTGTAACGATGGCAGGCTCTCAAGGATTCTCCGACATCTTTGCCTGGCTTGAAAGGACTATGAGTTGCTGGGAGAAGTCATCACCACTCCCAAACACTTCACGACGGTCGACGAGGTGAAGGTCGTCGGGAGTAAACGGGGAGCGCTAACCCGATGTGAGCTCCCGCACGGACTCTTGGCGGCTAATCAACCCTTCAGCGAGTTTTTGCATCCACCTCCTCCATCCTCCTCCCACCACTCCCCATCCATTGAAGGACCAATTCATCTCCAACTCATCTCCACTCCGACCGTCAATACCATCACCATGGTTGCCATCGCTCGCTCCTTCGGCGCCGCCCGCGTGGCCGCCCGTGGCTTCTCCAACGCTGGTATGTCTCGCGCCTGCCGCAGCAGCTTAAGCCATTGGGTTTGAGCTCTGCAAGCTCATCAAGCAGCCATTGACCATCATCTTGCAGCCCGCGCTCCCCAGCAGAACACCCTCGTCGCTGCCCGCAGCGCCTTCCGCAACAACGCCGCCCGCAACGTCATCCAGAAGCGTGGCATCGTCGCCGAGTCCACCGCTGCCGCCATGGTCGCTGCCGCCAAGATCCAGGGTGCCGGTCTCGCTACCATCGGTCTTGCCGGTGCCGGTGTCGGTATCGGAACGGTTTTCGGTGGTCTCATCCAGGGTGTTGCCCGCAACCCTTCCCTCAGGGGTCAGCTCTTCCAGTACGCCGTTCTCGGTTTCGCCTTCGCTGAGGCCACTGGTCTTTTCGCGCTCATGATGTCCTTCTTGCTCCTCTACGTCGCATAGATGTGTGCATTGCATGGGCTGCCGGACATTTGGGGTCAACGGTATGGGGGTGCCGCAAGGTGGAAAACTTTTCTTGCGGATGGGTGTGTGCATAGGGACGACTACTACCTCTTTTCCTACTCTAGTGGCCGGTCAGATTGTGTAAAACATGTACTTTAGACGAGCAATCTGAAGAGCAAGCTACCACCACGGCTCGCTTTCCTTACCCAGGTATATGTGCGGAAGCTGTAGCTATGGTAATGACATGTGCGGATGACTGACGTTGAACTCAATGGACTCGAATGGACCCTCGAAACCAATGCCGACGCTTGTCAATACCCGTGCCACGTTCCGTGATGAGCTACTGCTGTTCGAGCTGTCCGATATTGAGACTTGGTCATGCCAAGCTTTCGTTCGAGCTCGCTCTCAGGCTTGTGGGTGTTCAAGGCTCCCACCCCACCCTAACGTTGATGTTCGACTTGACGCTCGTTGACTACTGAATAGTTCATCTGACCTGCCGCAGGTTGACAGTGCGACATTGGAATGGTTTACCCCAGAACCCCGCGATTTCGAGGCTGCCTCGGTACGACCCGCTACCGTGAGCGCAAGATGGAGAGCGAACAGACAGAGATGCTCTAACTGCTATAACTTATTCAAGGCCTGTTGTGTCCTTTACCTGATATCTAGGAGCGCATATCATGTGGGTGAGATGGGGACCGTATTCCCATTGTTGTTGTTCGACAACCCGCGACACAATACAAGCCACGGACACCAGGTACGAGCGTAGCAATATTACTTCGAAGTACTGAGCTGATAGTCAATTGATAGAAAGAAGTACGCAGTCAATACGGCTTGTACCTCTGCGAATCGAAAGCGATCCAAGCATCCGCGAAGTCCGCAAATCACCACGACCCTCCTCCGATCGAAACACGCGCGTAATACACTATCACGTATGAGAAGGAATGATGGAGACTATGAGACTTTTAAGGGCCGCGTCTACAACGATCATCTAGGCAAGAAGATGCTGTGGCTAGCCGTGAGCAGATCAGCACCCAGCGTCGCATGGCAAAGTCCGCGCGGCGCACGTCTCCAGAGCCTCCGCGTTTGATCCCAGATCGACGTGATACCTGCTACGGTCACAGAAGAAGCAAGAGCTGCTGCGCAAGTCGTATAGAGATACCGAGGCTGCGTTGTTTCAGATCTGCGTCTGGGTAGATGGTGAGGCTGTTTCCGAAACACGATACGTGAACGCTCCAACCCTCCTCCAAGCACCGAACATCGGAAACCAAACAACCACACTCTTCCTTGCCGACTGCGGAACATGCAATGCATTCGAACACTGCAATGGTGCATCTTCATACTCGGCTCGTACCAAGACCGTGAAACTGGGCAAGGTGGGTTTCGTGATAAGCTTCCGCATCTGACGCGGCGAAGCTTAGATGTTTGGCTGTGCGGGTATTACCTCTCCGGACTGTGGTATTTAGAGCTCGATGTCTTCTTGAGTTGATTTGAGCAAATAACATCCCATCAGTACTATCATCTTGTAATATCTGTGCCGGTCACTTCTATTCAGTTTCAATTTACTTTCACTACCAATACTTCAGAAACTTCAATCAGCAAACATGCGTTACACAGCCTTTGTCGCCGTTGCTGCTTTCTCCAGCGCCGTCTTCGCTACCGGTAGGTTTTGATAACCATGAAGAAGTATGCTTCATTGGACACCCATCTAACACATCCCAGCCAGCCCCCAAGACGACGTTGCCTCCATCCTCGAGGCTCTCCGCACGAACAACCCCGAAGATGCCGATGCCGCCGCCTCAGCAATGAAGGTCAAGCTCCGCCGTCAGGACGACGTGAGCTCCATCCTCGCCGCGCTCGAGGCCAACAACCCCGACGATGCCGCCGCAGCCAAGCAGGCCATGTCTTCTACATCCACCACCAAGCGTCAGGACGACGTGTCCCACTGCCTCGACAACCTCGCGCAGGTCGACCCCGCGGCCGCAGCAGCAGCCCGTCGCGACATCAAGAGCCGCAGCATCGACGTCCGCGACATGGAGAAGCGTCAAGATGACGTTGCGTCCATCCTTGCTGCCCTCGCGCAGAACAACCCCGATGACGCCGCCGCCGCTGCTCCCGCTATGAGCTCTACCCCCAAGGCGGTTACCAAGCGCCAGGACGTGTCTCACTGCCTCGATGATCTCGCCGCAGTCGACCCCCAGGCCGCTGCGGCTGCCCGTCGCGACATCGAGAGCCGCGACGTCGAGAAGCGCCAGGACGATGCTGCCCACTGCCTTGACGCGCTCGCTGAGGTCGACCCGGAGGCTGCGGCTGCTGCGCGTCGCGATATTGAGAAGCGTCAGGATGATGTTGCGTCCATCCTCTCCGCGCTCGCCCAGAACAACCCTGATGATGCGAAGGCGGCGCAGACGCTCGGTAAGCGATGGGTTGCGTAGATGCGAGATGGAGTAGTCAGGGATTGAACTGTTTGGGGTTTTGTGGTTTGGAAGGGATCTAATGGCTGAGTGTATATAGTTTAGGGATTTGTACATGATGAGGAATGACTTAGGCTCGGTTCTCACTAATGCACTCGTTTGGCCTGATGTATTTGTTCAAATATCCTGAACAGTTGCGGCAGACGATTTAACTGTCTAGTCTCATCTGATTCAGTGTTCTTATGTTGGTACTGCATCCGCATTCAACGCTGCATAGTCGATGTTGTACCACAGTTGACCTGCCCCTCTACTACCCCGCACCACGACAAAGATACCAAATCTCACCAGATCCTTCTCTTCATGCCTACAGCACGGCTGCCGTACCGTGTAAATGAGTTTATAAATGTTGTGTCACCAAAATTTGTCCAGTTTCTCCATCAGACACGATGGCCGAGTGGTCTAAGGCGGTAGATTTAAGCCCTGCTTGGATCTCTACTACAGAAATGTGCGTGGGTTCGAACCCCACTCGTGTCAAGCAGCTTGTTTTGCTCTTTTTGCCATTCTTTTTGCGTTCGAAAATGAGGTTGAATGATCTTTTTGACCGTCATGGATGTAGAATCTCGGCCATGAGCGCCCAGAGCGATGGCGGGGTATATCCGCAGACCCACTTTTGCTCATAAGACTGTACTTTGCTTTTTGCATTTCTTCTTACCTTGGGAGATTGCTGTGCGAACTACCACTTTTAGTAGAAGGCCACCAGAGCATCAACCTGCGACTTTGACGACTAGCAGATATAACTCCCGAAGACCAAATAATGCTAAAACACATTCACGGTCGTCGTATGCTTCACGAAGAATAGTAGTACTATGATATGCCATTTAGGAAGGGATGTACGCCAAAAACTAGTTTACGCATACCCATGTGGCGTAGAACAAGGTACGCATGCCGACACGTAGTTGAGATCTTAAAGAAGAGATAGCACCCGATGTTGTATTGAAGCTATCTAACATCGTCGTTTGAAATATCTCAAGTCTTCGAGGAGGAAGTACATTGAGCTGGATATACGTTCCTGGCAAACACACCCCGGTTAATTCTAGTCCTGTTCCGTATCTTCATCCCGCTCTTGGAGCTCTTTTTTCTTCTTCCGTCGCTTGCAGCCCTCTTCCTCAATCATCTCCATCAGTCTCCGTGGCAAACCCGCATGTGGGCACCCATCTCCCAATATCTCCGCACTAGTCGCTAAAAACCTCTGTCTAAAGAACCACCATAACGCTCCGTCAGCAGTCTCAGTGCTGTCCGGCCGTGGGTAGAAAGGGTCATTCCTCATAAACGCTGCGCACGCCTGCTTCAGCCCAGCTTCGTCCATAGACATGTGTCTCACACAGTCAAAGTCTAAAATCCACATGACGTGTTTGCCAAGATAGTGTGATGGGAATGATGTTCGTGTTGATGAGGCTCGCGGAGGTGCAAGCACGAACTCGACGTCATTGGCATCGACTTTGGCGCCCCAGTGCATCATAGCAAGCGCATCCGCCATAGTCTGCGCGTAGGCGACGTAATCAAGGCCGAGGTCTTCCATCTGATTGATATGTAATGGAACGTTCCTGAGACTGAACCGCTGGAAGCGCGATGTGTTTGTTGCTTCGCGCTCTCTTCGTCGCCCCAAGTAGGGACGAATAAGACAGCAGTCGTCGTCTTCATTCCCTTTCACAAAAGCCGAGAGTGGCGTGTTGTCTGCGCAGAACAGGTCTACGATCTTGTCGCTGATAGATCGAGGTATCTTGGGGATGCGTTCCGATATGAGCGCTCTACACTCTGTGAAGCCGGCAGGGAAGCGGTGGAGGTTTTCGATCCACCACATATTGTTCGAGTATATCAACGACTGACACTGTGGTATGGCCAGAGGCATTGAAGGACGATGTTGGTTTGCGCTCCGAATGATTTGCAGATGCATGTTGTAGTCATTTGTGACAGATCGTCCGGGTCCTCCATCTTCGCGTTTGATGGCATGATTCGTGCCATCTTCAGCAGCCCAGACGCTGCCGCAAAAACCCTTGCCAATGCAGCGGTAGGGGTTGTTGGTGTTTGACATGATAAAGGTATTCCAGAATTAGTGTTGTTCTCGGTGTGATCGCAACTGTATATTATGATGTAGTTTAGCATCGGAATAGAAGTGGTGAAAAATTCAAATATAGAGCAAGTTTGACTCAAACCTGTACCATGGTTGAGAAAGGCTGCATCCGCACATGACTTTGCGTTCTAATACCTACAACGACAACTTCCCCACCAGTTGCACAGCCTAAACAAATGTGTTTCAGGCAAATTGTACGTCGAACACAAGGCTGTGGTATTGAGGATCATGGTGTGGCAGTGCCGTTGGCGTTGTTGCCTGAAGGGACGACCGTGCCGTACAGTCGGTGGCCTAAGCTTGGTATGCAGTCAGCATATAACAACAACAGGCCCCACAGTCTCGTTTAGAGTCTACATCGACTTCAAAGAAGTCCATACCATCTTTAAATCACGTGTCGTTCAACGAGATCATGGGTCAAGAACAGTCTCAGCCGTCAGCATCGCAGCGACCTCCAGAGCCGCAGCTTAGCGAAGAAGAGCGCGCAAAGCTCCAAGCTGAGGTATGGTCTTGGTGTTCGACCATACTTGCAACGCTGACAAGCCCAAAGATGCGCGCAAACCAGCAAGCGGCCCTGGATAAGCGTCTTAACCAGCCAAGGAAGTCGTCGCCCGCAGGCGCTCAAGCGACGAGGAAGCCAACTGCCCTGGAGGAAGCAAGCAGGGAGAACATCGGATGGCGCAACGCCGACGCGCAGGCGGAGTTCAGGAACTGGAACTGATGTGGGTGGACACGATGCTTGTGTCTTGTAGCTGAGCCGGCGCGAAATGTTTTAATCTGGATTTGAAGGCGTTCAGACTTCCACGAACAGGGATGGGGTTTGTCTCTCGGAGTCCGGCGTAGTGGAGTATACAACCGATATTTGACAACGTCATTTTCTTCTCATTTTGAATTCTCTCGCGTCTTGATTCGGCGGTGCAAGTCACAAAGCAGGTGTTTGGTGCTGTGCCTCAGCAAGCTGAAATGCAAGCAAGGGGCCAAACGGACATCCGCGGGGAAATGCCCACGCCAGTCGCTCGCTAGCGGCTTACATAACCGAAGATCTTCCGCCGCCCAGCCCAAATCACCTGCATCGTGCATCTCAATTGCACTCATATACCCATCTCGCTGTCGCCACTATGCCGGAACAGCGCGTCGCAAAGCGCAAGACTCACACAAAGTCGCGAAAAGGATGCTTCCAATGCAAGCAGAGACATACTAAAGTAGGTGTTCACCTTCGATGCAGCTTCCGTCTTCACCAGCCAATCACCGTGTGCTGTGCGATTTTCTGTATCTACCCGGCGCATAGAGCTCAAGTGCTATGAGCATCCGAAGCTATGGCTCTTCTGCAGTGATCCGTGTCGTCGCTTACCATGTCGTACAGTGCAATGAAGCGCGCCCGCGCTGTGGGAACTGTGTCCGCCTGGATATCCATTGCCATTTCCCAGCAATACCGGATAGCTACTCGACCTCCCCGCAACACAGTCCAGGCGTGTCCTCACCCTTTGTGGATACAAATCATGCTGAAAGTCCCGAAGCAAGTCCCGCCAGTTCCGAGCTACCACTCGCAGACCTCCGTCTGCTGCATCATTGGACAAAGGCGTGCGCCAAATCCTTGCATCCAAATCCCGCAACTAGAAGTGTCGTCTGGCAGGTAAGACTGGTCTACTCCGATAGACTATGTGGAATTGTTGAACTAACCGTGTCGCTCTGCAGAACGAGTTCATTGAATTAGGCTTCGACTATCCTTTCCTTCTTCGTGGTTTTCTCGCCCTTTCGGCAGTCCATCAAGCATCCTTGCTTCCACCCAATGAGCGGCAGAGTCTTTTGCTCCAGGCAGATTCCCACATCAGTCGAGCCTTGGACACTTACCGAAAGAATCTGGAGACGCCGAACGTTGAGCTGGCAATTCCGATGTTCATGCTGTCTTCGATAATCTTGACTTACAACTTCGGTTCGGCGCAGCTTGAACGCCCCGAAGATCCCATTCGCGCTCTCCACCACTGCTTCATGTTATTGCAAGGCATCAAGGTTGTGGTGATACCTCACTGGGACCAAATCAAAGACAGCTCGGTGTTTGCTCATATGACAGATATGGCGTCTCCGGAAGCGCTAGATGCGTTGGACACGCTCGCAAGGGAGGAGAACCCTCAAGAGATTCTTCGACTGAAGGAACTCACGGAACTCCTACTGGATAGCCAAGACAAGGAGGCCTGCGCTACAGCTATCGACGCACTCAACGCGACCTGGCTCCGGTTCCGGCACATATCACCCGATCGCGACGAGTACTCCCTTCTCTTTCTTTGGCCTGCGAGGTTGGAGACCCATTTCTTCGATCTCCTTGCAGCTCACAACCCTGTGACATGCATCATCACGACCCATTTTGCAGCAATGCTGGCCCAATGTCGCCCGGTATGGTGGGTGGTAAAGTGGCCCCAATGGCTTCTTGCTGCCTGCGAACAATTGCTAGCAGCGACACCAGATCTCCTAAAATGGCTCGACTGGCCGCAACAGATCATTCATGCTCAAGCCGGGAGCGCGACGACCACTCCGACAGCCTCGTGAGGATCTGAGTTACACCGAGTTGTATCCATTTTGGCGTCGCAGCCAGTAACTCATTGTATCCTATCGCGGGGAGTGAGTCTTACCGGGTGTGCTTGTCCTTTGGCAAACCAGCTCTTGGCCTAAAGTCGTGGGTTGTTTTGGCGAAGTCTTATCGCAATGATCACTAATATGGGACCAAATAAATGGCGAAGCTTGCGAAGCTCGCGAGAGGCTGTGCAATTCGCACAATCTCAACGAGGCACTGCAGTTGTTGATACGCCGTATTGGACGGGGTGCCGCACGATTTAACCCCCAAATCGACCCACTAGTGCGGCAGAAGCCATACGGCCGATACGGGGCCCGCAAAAAAACGTCTCGGCTCGGCAAGCGCTCTTGGCAGCGTATTTCGCATCACGTATTCCGTACAGCCAGGACGCGAACGCATCCTTAGCTTGACGGCTTGTCCGAGGAGCGATACGCAATTGTTGTTAAAACGTTCGAGAAGCCCACTTTGAGAATGGTCACACCTGCATTCGAGGACGCATTACCTGCGTTCGTCTCCAACTCAAATAAACATGTCCGACACCGAACCATACCGCCCAGCGCTTGACGACCCAACCGCCTACGTTCTATACCGATACATCCCAAACCGGATAGCGGCAATCATCTTCGTCGTCGCATTCGGCCTTACCACCTTCTTGCACATCTTCCAATTCATCAGAAGAAAGACGTGGTACTTCGCACCACTAGTGATTGGAGGTCTATGTAAGATTGCATAGCCATCCTTCTTCGCGATGGTGTTGCTGACATGATGCAGTCGAGGTTATAGGTTACATCGGACGCTACCTCTCACACGACGATGTCTGGGCACTCGGTCCCTTCATTATGCAGTCGCTGCTCATCTTACTTGCCCCGGCACTATTCGCAGCCTCCATCTACATCATACTGGGTCGGATAATCCTCTTAGTCGACGGAGAGCGCTACTCGCTAATTAGCCACAAGTGGCTTACGAAGACGTTCGTAGCAGGAGATGTGTTCAGCTTCATGTTGCAAGCCGCAGGTACGTTACCACTTTAGCGCAGCTTCCAGAACTATGGCTAAATATTAGTATAGGTGGTGGCATCCAAGCAATGGGCACGCTAGACGCCCTGCATACCGGTGAAAAGATCATCATCGGTGGTCTATTCGTCCAACTGCTCTTTTTTGGCTTTTTTATCGTCGTCTCCGCGGTCTTCCACTACCGTGTCTCCAGAGACCTTCCCCTAAAGAGGCGCTACAGCCCCTTCTCGTGCTTCAAGTCTCGACAATCCCATGAGATCGTACAAACCTGGACCACCGTATCCCGAGCGAGTCTCGACGAACTACCCTGGAAGCGCCACCTCTTCAACTTATACTTCGCAAGCGCGCTCATCATGGTCCGAAGCATCTTCCGTGTAGTGGAATACCTCGGAGGAAACGCGGGATATTTGCTCAGTCACGAAGTGTACCTGTACATCTTCGATGCTCTGCTGATGTTCTTTGTTATGGTTGCTTTCAACTGGACCCATCCAAGCCAGGTCACGGACGCACACCAGAAGAGACTGCGAAGCGGTTCGCCTATGGAGCTTCAACATTCTCGCGATATGTCAACGGGCGCGGACGAAGAGCACATGATGGGACATCGGGAGGCTAAGAACGGTGTAAGAACTGGTGGCAGGACTGGATCGAGACGTTCAAGTAGCAGGCATGCTTCTGGGCGTTGAGACAGCAGGGGTGGATGTATTGATTATGATAACAAGAGGAGGACTTTATCTGATTTAGCGACTAGAGCATAGGAACTGATGACGTTCCCGCAAGAAGTAAGCGACAAGCTGTGCGCCAGTACGTCCCCTATAGCCAGGGACGCGGAATACCGAGATTTTCTGAAAAGGAAGCTTGAGCGAGATGCATCGGTAGCAAGTGTCATATCCATGGCAATGACGTCATTTCATTTTGAGAGCAAGAACTTCCGACTTCACTAGGAAGTCACATCTGATTAGATAGCATCAGTCCGTAGGAACAAGTCACCTCAGAGAAATTAGAGGAGCATCCGTAATTTCATCTACATGCTTAATGCAATGCACTCGATGATTGCTTCCACCCCTTCATATTGGTATTTGTTTCCTTATCGCATTCCAGAGAAAGGGTATGTTTCCGCTATGACTGTAATTGTACCCCGACTCAACTCGGGAATGGGGTCCGTAGAACTCCATGACTCCAGTTCCTTTTTTTTTTCCCAACACGTCCCAGCCCTTCTACTCACGACGGTGGTGAAGGCCGACCACCGAACTTTGTGATTACTGATAGCCGGCTGGAAAGCAAAATTTGTACCCACGCAATTACAATACAGGATCCAGAAAAGTTCCGAGATCTGGAATGCGATTCGTGGTGATGCGTTTTTTGGAGCAGCATGGTGGAGCTCC